TTATTTATTTTTTAGTTTGGCATTTCCCTCAGTGACATAATGTATTTTTTGAAAGAAATTATATCTAAAATTTTTTTATCTAAGAAAACCGAAAACCTTAGTTAAAATTGTATTATTTTTGTGTGTTTCTGGACTATATTTTGGTTGGATTTTAAAAATAAGCATTAGTTACACATCTTTAAAAAGTATGCAGTACCTCTTAATGTCAGGTAATTTTCTGGTTGATGACCTGAGCAAATGCTGAACTCCTAAAAATCATGAAAAAAATCTTGTTTTATCTTTTTAGCAGATGTTTTCTTACTTTGAGCTAGTTTGCTGTATGATTAACAGACAACAGTGTGACTCTGGTGACTTAAAGTGTGATCTGATATCCAGTGAAATTAGTAGAAAGATTATATTTTTGGCTAGAAATTGGAATAAGTACAATGGAAATGAATGTTCTGACTACAAAACTCTTAGTCTTTTTGAGCAAGTAGTACAACATGCAGTAAATTAACGATTGACATGGTGTTGATTTCGTATGGTACACTTCTGATATTTCTGTTGTACTCAGCAGCTTCACTGGGACAAAAGATTGTAGGACTTGGTATCATTCATTTTCAGAATAAACCCTTTTAATGTAAAGCAACTGCTGCTAAGGTGAGCAACAGGCTCACTTATGAATGACATTTTTAAGTTTGCTTACCCCACTTTCACCTTGGAAGATGAAGGTTCCCTGGCTACCACAAGCTGCTGAATCAAGTGGGGATAACTTCATTTAAAATCGAGCATGGTAGTCTCTTCTCTTTGTGCACCAAGGATGACAGTTTAGTAAAGTGACCAGAGGTATTTCCTGTTCAGAGAGATCTTGTTTGTTAATTAGTCATTTGCACAGTCATATTCACTTATCTGAAAAAATCCGACCCTAAATTATTAAATTTCTTAAAAATACATATTTTGAGTATTAAAAGATTATGCCATTTTCCACTAGTTCACTTAGTTTTGCTAAGCAGCTTTCCGTTCATCCCCCCTCCAGCTGCTAACACATCATGTAGTTATATTTTGCTTCAACATTGAAAGCCAGAGGAACATTTTTGGCTGCATCTGAGTTTGCTGTCTGGATAACAGATGCTCATTTTCCTTTGGCCATTCTTTTTCCACTGAGAAAAAATATTTACAGTGAAAATGGACGATAAATTTTGGAAAGTAAAGGTCATGTGCCTATAACATATATTTGCTAACTTTCAGAATGTGCTTTCAAGTAGTATGTGTTTTGGCACTGGGGATGCTGGAGATCATCAAGCATTTTAAAATTATGTGTTAGTAGGTTCTTGAATAAATGAAAGGGAGAAGTCTAAATGCTTCAACCCATAGTCATTCCCTTCCTCATCTTGTCAAGGAAGTAAATTTTTCCAGAACTAAGGACTGGACAGAAGACAGATTACAATAATGACCTAAGAGAAGATCAGTGTATTCATTTAACAAATTAGGATGTAAAAAAACCACAAGTATTTCTCTTTTTGATCTGTGGTCTAGCCCAGTTCCAAAAGCTATGGTATCCAGGGAGAAGGAAAGGAAGCCAGATGAGCATCTTTCTTACAAGAAGTAAAATGCTGCACCTCTACCCACTAAGTCTCTTAAAAAAAAAAAAGAAAATTCCAAAATGCCTCCTATGAAAAGTCTCTGGTCCTGATATCACTTGCCCCTTTGTTCTCTGTTGCCCCCAGCCTGTAACCACAACTGTTTTACATGACTGCCCCCAGAGCTGTTACTCAGGGAACCTTCTGTGCTCAGCATAGAGAACCTGCTTCAGCTCCTGGAGACCTACTCTAGCAGCAGAAAGGCAACTTATGTTTGTTGACTGAAAAAAATGAATTTTTCACTGGATCTTATACCCTCATTTGTCACGTTCGAGATGAGCAACCAGATTAACTAACCTTTATGTAATGCTCATCTGACCATGTGTTCTTTTCCATTTTGTTTCATGAGAGATACCATGCTAAGAAATCTTGTTCCTCAGCGTGAAAAAGAACTACGTAAACCCAGTTTCTTTGCAAGCATTGCCGTATATTCAGTTGAGCATATTATAATAATTCACAGCAGTGGCAGTTTTCCACCAACTTTTCCTTGCACGCTTGCAAAACAACTAGGTAAAGGACTACATCACTGGTTTTGAAATTGCAGTACCGAGTCAACCATTATAGACTTGCCAGTTTGGAATATTTATCTTCAAATAACAAAAAGGTTTCTGACTGCACTAAAGATGTAAGGAGAAATAAATGCAACAAGATATCACCACGGAAGATAGGGGAGTAATTTGTCTGTTTCTGGTATCAGACATACTATGCAATTTTCCAGCAAAAGATGCAGGAGGTACTTTTGTCTGGAATACTAACAATAATCCATCAGACAAGGGGCTGGGCTTGCAGAAGCATCTGGTAGTAGCTTTTAAATAGATAACCAACAACAAAAAAATCCAGTTTTTTTTCTCATCTTAATATTTAAGAGTTGACTGATATGTAGACTGGAGTCCTGACATGACATAGACACTGATATGCAAAGATTCAAGCATGTTTTTTGAAGAGTATAGATGAAGTCAACTTGGTCTTTACTTGAACTCTACAAGTAAATTTCTACCTTGATACTGTTTGGGGTCCCTGCCAAGTTTTGCTGAAGTTGTTTTGGGTTTTTTTTTTATGATGAAGAAAATCACATTCAGTTTTTTGGCAAATACTGTTTAACACTGTTCTTACAGTGAAAGGAGCATCTGAATAGTTCCACTGAAACCTGATCTGCCTAAAACTACCTTACCATAGACTTATTTCTTGCAGGACTGAATACTATGCAAGGTTCTAAACTCCACTTACAGCATTTCTTTTTATCACCTGAACTCCTGCAAAGCTTTAAGAAACAGAGGGGCAGTGATAACCAGAATCCTCTTGAATGAGGAGCAGGGGCGCATTTATTTTTCCGTATTCTGTTGTCAGACTAATGCAATCAGAGTTTCAACACCTGCAAATAAAACATAAAACAGCCAGTTTGTAACATCTGTTGATGCCTTCCAGTATCACAACAATTAAAGAACCTTATCACAATGAAACAGGATAATTTCAGTCAAGAAAATTAACTTAATATTCTGCATTTATAAATGTTGGGGGTTTTTTAATTCTTTCCACCTTATACATTAAAAAAAGCCTCAGTTATAGCTATTCAAGACTGATTTGTAGTTTGCATTTACTGTACAGCTATTGGCAACATCGTCTTTCCGGGGCACAAATCACGAGGGTTAAACTATGACAATTAGTGATGGTGTATTTGAAGTCACTGGGCAATTTTCAGTATTTATAATGATATTTAGAGTCTCTCACTCCCAATATGAGTTCTTCCGGAGTGGTAGTGAACTGCTGTCCCATATGAAGTGAGATAGTGACCATTGTCCAGATCTAAACAATATGTGAACATCAATGAACAGTACACTGCAGCCATTACATTTGTGTTTCATTTAAACAGTCAAAAATTTCATTGGCATCAGGACTGTCTTCTGATGTAGCAATAGTTCTTAGGTGTAGTTCCTCTGCGTCAAGGTAAAAGCTGTTCATGAAGAGTGCAGGAAGCCTAACTACTGTTAACTGCTTGCAGCGTTCAGAGACAAAAAGAAAACATCTGTGTTTTATTAATTTAATACCTTTTACACACAGTGAATAATCTCTACTTTTTCCTAGGAAAAGAACAAAGGAAACTATTTCTTAAACTTATTTTTTATTTAATGATAAGATGTTCTTTCCTGATAGTTTATGCAAATATTTTGCATCTTGAATATGCATCTTGCATATCTTTTGAATACTCACTGAGTTCTCGTTTAAAGGATAGTGATATTTGCTGTTACATCTTTAATAGTATGCACTGGACGTTAACTGAGAAAAGTTGTTACGTTTTCTGCAGTGTAAATCCACAAAGAATTTAAACAGGCAAGGGAGAGAAGAGAGTCAGGGTGTTTGGGTTGTATCTAATCAGACCTCGACCTGGGTCCCGGTGACCACGAGGTGGGGCACTACGTTAACGTACCGCCGGTGAAGCTGCTCTACCGGGATTGTTTATGAAGTTAGGAATGTTTTAAAGTAACGTGAGAAGAGATTAAAAAATAGATATATAGTTCTAGTATTTCGTTTTACCAGGAGCGCTAAGCACGATGCTGAATAAGGCATCTAAGAAAAGGGTTTCATACCCAAACATTTCCAAACTAGGTTAAAAAAAAAAAAGTTGGCAGACAGTTCTAATAACTCTATAGAAGAAGCAACAACATTCTAGAAAAATAACAATTCAGCTTATCGTGCTTTCTTTCAGTTCACCCTTGATCGCATTCCCAGAAGCCGTGAGGTTAGACAATCTTGGACCTCCTCTGTGGTAACAACCCTGTACTCCATACTTTACTCCCTTCCTTTGACCTACAAACTGAAACCAGATTTGGTAGGTAAAGTAAATTTTTAACTTACTAAGAACTTGCTAATCTGCATCATAAAAGAATTCGGAGTATCAAGACATTGCAGACTATCTCATATGTATGCTTAGATTTACAGTTCACAGGAAAAGTATTTTTGAATGTAAAATTAAAGCTGAAAGAGAGATAGCAGCAATACACCAAGAATGAGAGAACGAGTTGCACTGCTGGTGAATTAGAATAGCAAATGTGTTTCCCCTCTCAAAGTTTGCAGGTAACATCAGAGTGTGTCACTCCCTTGTTAATACTGGTAGAGCTAGCACAAACAAGGTTGCAGGTTCTTGATAATATCTCTTCAGGATTGCAACAGCACAAAGTGTGCCTGAAAGCCTGGTTATCCTGTTGGCTGGTCTTTCACCTTGCAATGACATGACCAGTCTGGAACAGGCAGGTTCAGACCAGCAGAAATATATACAGATTCATTTCTTGTGCTTACATGGACTTTTCAGCTACATGCATATTTGTTTAGTCTTTGCCTGACTGACATTAATTATCTCATCTAATGACAAAAAACATCACTGCTGAAGTGGCAACTCCTCGGCACTTTGGCGACTTTTTCAAGCTGTTCACAAAACTGCACTCTCATGCTAATTACAACACTTATTTAAGAATATTCCACATACTTAATCAAGTCAGAAGCATTCAGGCTTGTCAAATTATAGAACTAAAATAGAGATATCTGATCAATAAAGTCTTGTATTAATGCAAGACTCAAAAGGTAGTGAACTGGACTCCCAGGTTTAAGTCCTACAATTCTTTAAGAGGAATTTTGGTTAAAGCTGGCTTTTTGCTAGAGTTGTTGCCATCTTGAGGAGTCAGTTATCCAAACTTGAGTTGTTTAGAAAAAGCATTATTTTAGCAGAATTTCAAGTCAATATTTTATGAGTTTTAAAATATTTTAATGAAACCTGTAAAAACTTGTGCAGTTACAAGATATTTTTTGTAATTTAGTAGCAACATATATACACCCACAGAGGATGTTTGTGAGCAGACTGTTTTTAGCTGTCACTGTGAACTGTGTGGCTAATTCTAAAAAGGCTGATATATATTTGTGATATTTTGAATGTTTAGAGAAGCTGCTCTGAATAATTTGATCTCATTGGCCTCAATAGTACTGGTCAGTTCCTATCAGATCAAAAGCCACTTGCTTGCTGGAGTTTTCAGAGCAGTTTAGTATGCAGAACAACAGAAGTAGCTTTTTGCAGTTCTTGTTTTTCAGGCCTGTTCTGAAAACTGGAGATAAAGGTGGGAGGGAGAAGGAAATGGTATACTATTCTTTTTACAGTGATTTTAATTGAGGGGGAGGCAGAATAATAGAGGTATGTTTACATGAAGCAGACATCTTGGAGCATATGTGAGTAACAAATATTTAGGAATCACTTTGCTGCACCACTTGTTTCAATTAATGTATATACTTTTTTTAACTTATTATTGCAAAAGAAATTGACTGGAAAAATCTTACTGTGTAGCTTAATATATTACCAAAAGAGTCAACAGGACACATCACAGGAGAAGAACAGGAAGTTACTAATTCAATGGTTTCTCTGTTTACAAGAGGAATTTAAAGTGACAGTGGGATTTACATGTAGAATTATTAGAAACAGTGCTGGAGTTGACAAACTGTGATAAGCCGTCAAAAGCCTAATGCTTTTGAAAAACACATGAAATGAAGGATACATTTTAGCAAGGCCTTTAAGCCCTTTGCAGTGTTTAGGGTAACACTGACTCAAAATGCTATCCAAAGAGTCCTCGTCCATGATTAGAGAAGGGCTGGAGGGAAGGGAGTTTCTGAATATTTTTTTGCCAAGTACCATTATCGACCACAATAGCAGCTGGTACTGCCACTGGCAGAAGCGTCTCTGGCATTACACCAAATCTTATACCACTTGAAAACTGCCTGTATACTACTATTTGTCGGCATATCTTAGTTTAAGAATTCTGTAAAATATAAGAAGTCAGAGAGCTGTAAATATTTTAGAACACTTATCAAAGGAAAACGATTCAGGGATTAAAATGCCTCACATTGCCAGTGAAAAGATTCTGTGTGGTATGTGAAGCAACTGATAATATTTAATTGCCTTTAGAAGAAAATGTTCGTGGTGAATTGCAACTCCCCCTACTCTTGGCAAAAATGTATTGCTTAGCAGTTTAACGAGGTGGAAAGGGTGGGACAAATGCTGGTGTGTACAGGACGCATCTATAACTTTTGACATGGAAATCGACACCCGAGTTTAGAAACAAGCACAGTATTACATCATGCTGGAGGTTCATATTTTTAAATACTGGAGCTTATGGGTACTGTACATTTTCAGTCTAGGCAACTGTTTGTGTTTAACTGCAGGAGTGGAAGACAACTTTGAATTGCTTCTACGTCATTTGTACATATGAGTGATCTCCAAATCCTTACGCTCACATTTAGGCTGGTCAAAGCTGTGTGCGTGTTTGAAGGAATGACTGAAGTCTTCTCCAGACACCAAAAGCTAGGGAAAAAAGCAGAAATGTTGCAGTTTTCAATGAATGCAAGACAAGAGGAGTACTGCAAAGGGAGCCTGAAACCATTAGGTGCACAAAGGCAAGATTTGGAACAGATAGGCTTAGGTTGGCATAACTAGCATATCTGTGGAGCCAAAATAGCTGTAAAGAGGAAACAGCAAACCTATCTGCACAGGAGTTACTTTCTGTGCTTATTTACATGAGCACTGTGTCCCCTTTGTATCTCACACTGATCTTCTGGCAAAGCTTCTTAGTTTACTTCGCATGAGAAAGCACTTCCATCTAACCCTTCTTCAAGATAGTGAGTTCAGAAAGAACTGAACAGCTTCCAGGAGACCTTTGCTGTCTTGCAGGACTTGACCCACACTTGAAATGGGCCCTCAGAGAGTTGAAGAAATGTAAAAGTTAGCTTAGTTGTTCAGTTTGAGATCATCTTCAAGAGGCCCATTTCTGAGTTATGAACATCTGTGCTTTGCAAAGTTAAGTCCCTTTAGAGATATTAAACCAAGTAACAAAATTAAGATGTCAGAAGTGATGATTGGCTTGTGTTCCCGTAGCCAAGAATTATAGAAATATAGGTGTCAGAGTTTTCCGGGTGCATCTGTGCTGGACAGTTTTTACAATATGTCAACCTTAGATAGGCTTCCTATGCAGAGGCCTAAAATTCCAGGAAAGCAAGGCTTGTGCCAGCACACTCTGCCTACACCTTCCTTCCCCCAGAAAAGCTTTTAAAACTGTTCATCATTGCAGCCAGATTTAATAAGCAGTTGTCATCTCAAAGACTGCAAATTCGTACAATGAAAATGGGCAGCTGGTCAGAGAAGAGAGCCTTATATTGCCTTCATTGAGAAAAAGGCGTGAGAAGAAATGTAAAACCAGAATAAGATGTTAGAAGACCAT